GAAAGCCTCGAATGAGCTTGGGCTTCATTTAGTTATTGATGGTTATACACCATGAAAATATTTTTTGTCCCTGAGCTGAACACATTAAGATGGATGAAATCATAAATGGAAACACTATTTCGTTTCTTGGAAGAAGATAAAAAAGATACTACCTTTCTTCATCACATTAGACTCCTCTTAGTTTTCAGAGTTTATGTCCCAATCTCATATATTGGGCTGTCATATTATTCTACTTTTTTCATAGAAGAACTTGGGTGTAGGCCAGAGATGTAAGGAGTGAGAGGATTCATCAGAGACAGAGTGGGGAGCAGAGCAGGCAGACCTACGGAAATACACTGCTGAGGGGAGCAGCTGTGAGCTGCTGTGCCATGTGGGTCACCTTCCTGGCCTGGGATTAAACTTGGTGCTGCAGTGGCATCGATAGCTTGAGAGTGCTGAGACTTGAACACCTGCGCCAACAAGGAAACCCAGGGAAATAGAACTTTTAGCAGGTTGATAGACCATGTGAGAACTAAAAGTTTGATTACTATAGGAGGGTTATGAAAATTGGAAACAATTTTCCGACTACATCATATATATAGTTTTTGCTTATACTGATTTTCCATTAAGGTAGGAATAGAAAGTTTTAAAAGGATTTAACTTTAGAAATTCAGTCACATGTGTGTATATGCATATATACACATGACTGTACATACACACATGTATATGTATAGACATATACATCTGCATATACATATGTGTAAAAAAACTACTATAGTTCCCATCAAGATAAGACAAAAATTATCTAAAATTTTTTATGTGAAAGACAAGTTTTAAAAAAAGCAGCAGGTGGGCCCTCCCTGGTGGCCCAGCAGCTTGGAGCGCTGCACTGTGAAGCTAAGCCAAGCCTTGGCCTCTTCAGTGAGAGTTTGATCTCATCTCAGAGCTGACCCACATGGCGCGGTAGACCTCTCCTGTCTTGCCCGTTGCTCCCCTCAGCAGTGTACTTGCTGATCTGCCTGTTCTGCTCCCCACTCTGTTTCTGATGAATCCTCTCATTGTCCCTGCACCTCTGGCCTATACCCCAGTTCTGTATGCATTAGTAAATAAAATCTTGAAAACAAATAAACAAAAACAGCAGCAGGTGATCCATTTTAGTAATATTAAACTCAGCAGACTACCAGGGACATACTTCTAACACTAGAAACTAATGTGAAGTGAAACTTTTCTACCAGTAATCTTCACACTGTGACCCCTACATACAATTTGCAAAATCAGAAACTTTGAGAACACAGTGTACATGGAAAACTTACAGTATACATGGAAAACTCTACACGATGATTAAGACAGCAGCGTTCTCAGTATGGCATACCCAGCACACACTGATGGTTAGCTCTTCTGAGGACCCATTAAATTAACATTTACAGCTGAGAGGGAAGGGAGGCATAATCCAATAAAACAAAAATAGCAAGGGGCTGTCAGTGATAAACAGCTTTCAAGAAATTTCTGAAAAGCATTAAGTTGGTGGGTGTATATTGACTGAAGGATTCCTGGAATACTGGTGTGAGGACCAGAAGAGGCCTCCCGGCAGGACAGCAGATTCTGCCCAAAAGAAAGTGGGTACACAAAGGGGCATAACTATAGGTATCCTGAACAGTCAACTACCTCATATATTTTATCTTTGGAGGTGGAATGACAGACAGGCAGCCTGGCATTTACCCTCATACAACTACATTGCTCAGACTCGGGGGGGGGGGAACATTAAGGGAAGATTCTTCAAAGAAGCTGATGAAGCTGACGGGGAGAACTAGAGCATGCGCATTGCTCTGCACCAAAACTAAGTCCAACAGCAGCTTTCTACCCACTTGACCTAAAGCACAGCAGGGAGTCAAAGATCATCTGGCTTTTTGGTTAACTTGATTAAGCACACACACAATTCTCATTCTCTCTTGAAGCCTTACAAAAAAGGCAATTAGGATTAAGAAAGCTATAAACAGGAAGAGAAAGAGAATGGGAAAGGAGACATCAGTTGATGAGGCAGGTCAACCTGATAAGGGGAAGGATCTCCTAATGGAACTCTGCAGATTTTTGTGGACTCCATCCCTACTCGAGCTTTCTGGACTGTACCTCCTATTCCAGTGATTGGAAACTACAACTCCCAGCAATACCAAGGAGAAAACTGAGTACCCAAGGGCGGAGCTAAGCAGGCATTCTGGGACTTTGGAGGATAAATAGGGAGCCATTTTGTCCAACTGTCTCTCTCGCACTCGCTTGGGAAACGGCTCTCAGGACCGTGTGACTGTGTGCTATCAGTTTGTTCCTAGATCCAAGTCAGCTGAGCCGGTAAGATATTCTAGTTAGCTTGTATCTCTCTCTCTTTCCCTGGGTTGTCCCTTTTCCTTTCCCCTTTTGTAAATAAACCCATTATTGACCCTTTTGTGTGTGTCTTCAGTACAACTAAATTTTTTTTTTATTAAAAAGTTTATTTTTACATCATTTTGCACATTTTTTTTTCATCTCAATTGTAATCCCCATGGGTTTCCCATCACCAAATCACCCCTGTGCCACCACCATAGTCCCGTGCATTTCCCTCCCTTCCCCCCGCAGTATGTTTTTTAATATAGTGTCACAGGGAGGTTCTGGGCTTGACAACATACTTGATTCACTGCTTTTCTTTCCAAACTTCACCTCCCTCTTCCACCAGGCCTATAAGGTGGATTTGATGATACTACCTTCGCTAAAATGTTTTAAAAAACAAAACAAAACAAAACTGGGTCTTTCCAAAGTGCTCCAGATTATAGCACCCTGTGTTAAGGACCTTTACCATTCTGCAAAGGAGACAGGCAGAAATGCATATGAAATTTTCTGAAAGGCTTGGTACAAATGACATTTATTTAAAAGCCTGGACAGTGCTGTGTAAGGACTGTCAGTTTTAAATTATAATGTAAGCATAATACAACATGTAAAGCTGGATTTATCTTTTGACGTCAGCACCCCTAATTGTTTGTTTGCTCAACAGGGCTTCCGTTACAAGATGAGGTCTGTGTATGCTCACTTCCCTATCAACGTTGTTATGCAGGAGAATGGGTCTCTTGTCGAAATCCGAAATTTCTTGGGTGAAAAATACATTCGCAGGGTTCGGATGAGACAGGGTATGTGTATAACTTCAGATATGACTCCAAACATGCGCCTAGTGTTTCGATTGGCTATAAGTATAACCAGATGATCTTGTTCGGGAAGAAGGGATTTCTTGGTACCAACTTCATAGCTCTACAAATATTAGCTGGGATTGGTAACATTTAACGGGGACTTTTGTATAAAAGTGAATTTTGGGGACGCAAGTATGAGTGGTAGAGACAGCTGAAATCTATATTCCCCCTAATGAGTTCCTAAAAATCTGCAGCCATCTGGGACAGTCATTCAAGTAGAAAAACAAGATTTTGGCCCCGGTCACACTTTGTAAAATCAAAATGTTAAGAGACATTTCATTTGGTGTGTGGAATTTTAAATGAAATGTCTTATAACTATTTTATATTAATACTATGCCAATGCGCTCTCCTTTTAGGTGTTGTTTGTTCAGTATCTCAAGCCCAGAAAGATGAGTTAATTCTTGAAGGAAATGACATTGAACTTGTATCGAATTCAGGTTTGTATATTTATGTATCTATGCCTTTAAAATTTTGTTAAATTGAGTTGTGGAGATTAAAGTACTGTTTTAAAAATGGGTTTGGCTGATAAAGTAATTGCCTATTTAACTCTTATTAGCTGCTCTGATTCAGCAAGCCACAACAGTTAAAAACAAGGATATCAGGAAATTTTTGGATGGTATCTATGTTTCTGAAAAAGGAACAGTTCAGCAAGCGGATGAGTAACATTTAAGGTAGGTTCTTGTTAGTGTCTGGGTTTATTATTGTTTTAGTTGGGGGCCTTTACTAGAAACAAGTGGGAGTTATGACATGGAATGGATAGTTAGGTTCTAGGATGCATTATATTTCAAATAACTTAATACCAAGTTCTTCTGGTCAAGGGTGCTGGGTATTTATCTTTTCTTTCTTTTTTCCCTTTTTTACAGTTACCCAGCTACAGAACAGCAAGATACTGGATAATTTCTTTAGCCTATATGGGATACATTTTTAAGAGGCAATAAAAAAAATCATTGATTTGGAGTTTTTTCTTTTTCCTTAAGCTGATTATCCTTTCAAACTTTCCAGCAAGCAGTTTGCAAGTCAATTTTAGTGTGCTAAGAAAACAAGAACAAGTGTTCTACAAGGAACAGTTTTACCTAAGGACTTCAGAGAAATGGCTTGAATCTGATTTTTAAAGGAATATCAAGGGTGTTACAGACAAGAGGACTATAATAACGATGTCAGATGACTTGAAGTTGTTCACTGGCCATAGAAGAGGCCTTCTCTTCTATACTGTATTTTATTGTGTAGAGGCCTAAATAAGAAGGTTGTGAAGCGAGTATGCTTCATTCACATGTCTATGCCAGTAGCTTTTTGTGAAAAGGAAACTGAGAAATAGAACAAAGAGCTTTGGTAAGAGTCAGGAAACTGAGTTCATGATAAACATGATTTCATTGATCAGTGGGCCTTTCAATTTAAATCTTTTGGCTTTAGCCATTTATTCCTGCATCCTAATCTCCCACAATTTTAAATTAAGCAAGAAAAAAAACAAATAGCAATCAATTGGAACGTGTGTTTCCACCTGTAGTGTTTTAAATTGAAAACACCTGGTGCTTGGATTTCTTTAATCTTGCTGATGGACCTTACTGTGACAGTGGCAATTTGTAGATGCAGGCATCGTGCTGCTAGCTTTCATGCAGAAACCAGTGCTAAATCACTACATCTTGTCAACCCATGATCTTGGTTTTGTTAACAGAAGGAGCAAGTATTTTTGATATTATGGCTAATTTTACTAAGAAACACTAATTGGGTTGCGGTGCATTTGCCTATGTTGCCGCAAGCTAGGTCTAACTAAGCTCTTAAGAAATGTGAATGCCAATAGGATTTGCTTTGAAGTAGTTGGTTTTGGGGTAGGTGTGGGTGAGTTTTGGTGAAACATGACTTGGAGCTGAACAATAGGTGGGGGTTCATGCAATTGTCAGACTTTCCATACTGCAGAAATGAGACAATCCTGTTTCACCTGGATTAGTCATAATGTGTTTACCTCTGCTCCCCACAATGTTTTCAACAACCAGAATCCTTTTTTTAAATGGCCCTTTTTCAACTTTTCTCATTAGGCCACAGCTGAACTGAATTTTCTGTTCACATTACATCCTTAATCCTTTGAGCTGTGTTTTCCTTTCAGAGAGGCACCTTAACCCTCAAGTCTATTGTCAACAATTTTTCAGTGAAGGTTTCCTCAGCCACTGTGTTGTGCTCCTTAACCTCCCAACCTAGTATATGTAACCTGCTGCACTTATTCATGCATAAAAGAACTGAGATACAGGCCCACTCAGAGACTGGGGGGAGCAGATTGACTAAAACACACAGCTGAAGAGAGCAGCGTGAGAGACTGGAGAGGTCTATTGTGCCTTATGGGTCAGCTCTCTGGCTCTGCTGCAGTGGATGTAGATAGCGTCATGACGCTGCGAATCAACCCTACTTGCCACCAGGAAGGCCTTAACTCCACTTTTTATGTATATAGCCTTTATAATTTCATTTTTGTGGTTTGTATGCTTTTTGAGCCTTCTAGAATATGACCATAGTGAGGATGAGATAGTTTTGCACACTGGGTATTCCAAGTACCTAGGACATATGTATGGTGCACACTTGTTTAGTGACACCCACATCACTGTAGATACCTTATGAAAGACTCAGGTGATAATAGCAATGGGACTGGGAAGGGTATAGAAATGCTTTTAAAGTTTTTGACAATTTGAAAATGATTTCCAAGTGGTCTTACAGGTGTCAGTAAGTAATTAGTAGTTGCGGTTGTGGGTATTGATAAGATTCTCCAGGATTGAAATCTAGGTGTGCTCAGTGAGGCCACAGGACTATAGGAGGCTCATTGTGGCTCAGGATAGTCAATGGAAATGATCATTTAGTTCTTCCCAGGAGAGAGGTCTGTGTCTTCTGATATGGATAAGAATAGGTGTGTTTCCCCAATTCGTAGGTGTCCATTTCTTTGAGAGAAAATTCAGAACCAAGTTACCCCACTTGGTGGACCTCTAGGGAAGATGTGGCAGGGCAGTGTTTGTAGATACCAGTTAACACAAACCCATTCACATTTGACCATATTGTTGGGTTATATATAAAAAAACAGCATAAACAAGTTTATTTGGAAAAATTCATGTACTGATCTCAGTTTCAAGGCTCTTAAAACACCAGATAAGTTGTGGCATTTCCTTATATATTCACTTGTTGATGATCTGGGTTGTACAGAGAGTACAGGTAATACAGGAGTTGTAGCACAAGTTAAAATACGTCATAGATTTTTTTTTTTTTACCAGCAAGTTTCAGGAAAGCAAAAAGGGTTTCATCTATTTGACCTTGTCAAGAACTATTAAATTTCTACTTTTTTAAAGTGAGCTCAGCATAAGCCTGATTATTAGTAAGTATAGTTATGATACAGTTAGTATATTCATGAACCAAATTAAATGTTTACCTAGGTAATGTTGTAATGGCTCAAAAACTTAAGTTCCAAGTGACAGGAAGGACTGTTAAAGCATTGACTTTACTATTTGGGGAAGTTTATGGCAAGGGAACAAGGTGAAAGAGGGGAGAGTAAAAACTTAATCTCAAAAAGTGAAGACAAAAACAGTGAAGGTTAATAAACTTGAAAACAGCGCAAGAAGTTAAAAGAGCCCAAGGAATTTAGAGAGCAGAAGAGTAGTGCCTCAGTTTGATTCCACATTCTTGGATATGTACATTTCCAAGGTCTTAGATGTCAGGTTAATTTGATAAGTTGCCCAACCAGTAGTTTCCATGAATAGTTACTAGAGTGAACCTTTTGACACAAAAGGGAGAAAATGCCTAATAGTAATTAGTTGCTGTGATTTTGTATAGTTACAGGCCTACTCAGTTCTCAAAAAATGCAAAAAGATACTTCTAAAGCATAACCTAAAACAGCCAAGGGAGTAGACACCAGGTAGATGAGAACAGACTTAGAAACTTTAACAAAATTTACTGCTTGAATTAACCAATATAGTTGGAACTAATTATTATCAATTAGAATTTGTTAAGTACAGGCCCTCCCTGGTGGCACAGCAGGTGGGGTGGAGCACAGCATTGCGAAGCTGGTCTCAGCCGCTTCAGTGAATTTGATTCCAAGCCCCAGAGGTGACCCATTTGGCACAGCAGACCTCTCGTCTTACCCGCTGCTCCCCTCAGCAGTCTGTCTCCCCTCATCAATCTGCCTGTTCTGCTCCCCACTTTGTCTCTGGTAAGTCTCTCACCACCTGCATCTCTGGCAGTTCTGTGTGCATAAATGTATAGAATATTAAAAAAAAAATCAAGTGCAAAATTTGACAGATGCATAAAACAAAAAGGACCTTAATTCAGGACAGTTTTCTACCAAATTTTTTTTTTAAGATTTATTTTCATACAGAACTGGGGTACAGGCCAGAGATGCGGAGGGTGAGAGGCTTCACTAGGGACAGAGTGGGGAGCAGAACAGGCAGATCAACGAAGTACAATAATGAGGGGAGCAGTGGGCGGGTCAGGAGAGGTCTACCACGCCATGTGGTCACCTCCGGGGCAGGCGGGGATCGAACTCATGTGGAAGTGGCTTGAGCTTCTTAATGCAGTGCTTTAACCCGCTGCGCCACTAGGGAGGGCCTATGAGCTAAATATTTTCAAATTTACATTTTAAAAATTATTTTTAGAAAATGATAAAAAGTGAA